TCTTATCTCTGGGTGGTTTAAAGGTGGCTCATAATTAAAGTCTCCCACACATCAAAGAAACAAAATCTGTCAGGAGAGTAAGTTACTGGTTAATCTAACTGAACCTTCTTCCTCACCACACCCTCCCCCTCACCCTGCACCCCTGAAACTGAGAACAAAGAGGAAATTGGAAGGTGCTATTTAAGGAATTTAAGAAAAGCCACTTAAGTAAAAAAAAAAAAAGCTAGTGAACCATGAGACTTGGCTGGAGCTGCCAAGACGGCCCTGTCTGGCACCTGGAGAACGCAGATCAACATCTCAGAAAATCAAATCTCCTAGGAGACTGCCACTGGGGCAGGAAGGGTGGGGTGGGGGTGGAGGGTGCGCACCAGGAGGCCTTGGGGCTTTTCAGCAGTGAGCTGTAACAACTTCTTACAAAGAGTGGCTGCAGCAAATTTCAGCCCTGTGTTATGCTGAGAAATGTAACCCTGGAGTAGATGGCATTGTTCCCGCATCCTCTAGGGGGAGGGTGGGCGATGGTCCCCATGACAACAGACACTGGAGGACCACAGGCCAGGCAAGTCAGAGGAAGATTCCAGCATCCAGTGAACAGTGGTTCTCAACCGGGGACGATTTTACTACCCAAGGGACATAATGTCTGGAGACATTTTAGGTTGTCAAAACTGGAGTGGGGGCTACTGGCACCTAGTGGGTAGAGCCCAGGGACGCTGATCAGTATCCTATCAACATCCTCTAGTCAGCCCAGAACAAAGAATGGCCCACCTGAACGTCAGCAGTGCCTCGGCTGGGGAGCCCGGCCTGAGAGGGCTGAACTGAAAATGCCTCAGCAACTTCTCACTCACAGTAGAGAAGTAAAACGACTTGTTTGGCAGGCACTGTACTAGGCGTTTTAAATACCACTGAAGACACGTGAAAGCCTACTAGGTGCGCAGGCACTGCTCACACATTATAACCAATGTGTACACACATTCACTCCTCTGACAATATTTACTGGGCTTTGGAGCCAGACTGTGTGAGTTCTTATCCCTGTCCTGGTCCTTCCTACCTGGATAGCTGTGGGCAAATTCCTTAACTTCCCTGTGCCTCACTTTTGTCGTTTGTAAAGCCGGGTCCATAATAATGGGATCGGCCTCCTAGGGCTGTGATGAGGAGAAAATATACACAGAGTCCTTAGAACAGTGCCTGACACACAGTAGGTGCTCAATACATCTCAGGTAAATAGCACAGGTTGTACTGACAGGCTGTGGGTGTGGGTCCTGACTCTACTTATTAGCTATGCGATCTCGGACAAGTTACTGAGGCTAGTGTCCTCATCTGCAAAATGGGGGTTTCCATAGCCTCGCTCCGTGTGCCACGGGGAGAGTGGATGGTTTATTACACTGACGTTCTTAGAACGTAATGCATATGGCAGGAGTGACACAGACGTGAAAGTGGTCACTGTCGTCAGTGCTATTAACATGTATCATTAAGGGTGTGGCGATACAGCCATGGGTAAGACCTCTGGTCAGGGAGCTTGACTGGGAAAAGATAAACTAATAAGCTACGAAATAAACAAACCTACCAGGAAAAAGCCATATAACCCCCTGCCAAAGAAAGGGACCTTCATTCCCATTATCCAAATGGGGAGCAGTGAGGTGACCTGCCCAAGTCCACACAGCTAGCAGATGCTGGAGGCTGGTCGGAGTCCAACATCCTTGTTCTGCCTGTCCGCCTACCCAGGATGATCAAGGTCAGGGCCCCCTGGAAGCTGACCTTCAGGAGGAGGCTTTGCACAGTGGCTGCCTCTCAGCAAAACAACAGAAGTGCAAGCTCACCCTCCGGATGTGTTAAGATAAGGCCCGACAGCCCGAGGCCCTCTGCAGAGACCCTGCTCCCTGCGGCCTCGCAGACAAGCTGCTGGGCAGAGCCAGACCCAGGCAGACCCGTGGTAACCGGGCTGCCACCCCGGCACAGAGGGACCTAACACACCCACCGTCTTTGATAGGCCTCCGCTCGATGCTGTCGGGCTCCAGCTCCTCGTGGGACAGAAAGATCCTGAGGCGTTTGAGGGAGACACTCGCCTACACAGAGAGCAATTACAGGGTGCGGTTATTTTTAAAAGTATTTCTGCCAAACAGACCGGAGGCTAACTTCCAGCAGTTTCCCCTGCGTGTAGAGGCGCCCACACCCTCTCTCCTTTGTGAAGGCTTACTGTAGCCTACAGTGAGTGTCCGCCTTAGAATCAAAAGTAAAACAGGTTTTGGTTCTTGTTTGTTTCCCTTTAAAAGCCAACCCTCGGTATTAAGAGGGAGGACAGGGGGACTGGCCTAGATGCAAAGGGACTTAAGAGACTTAATAACCAAAGGCTAAGTGGTCCCATTTAAGGGCACACACTTGCTGCCAGGAGATAAAGAAGTCCTGGAGAGCTAATGCACAGCGTGGTGATCAGAGTCAACAACACTGGATTATAAACTTCAAAGTTGCTGAGAGACTAGATCTTAATGGTTCCCACCACAAAAAGGGAAATGATAATTATGTGACATGACAGAGATGTTAGCTAACACTATGGTGGTCATATCCTGTTTCCTGGAAAATAAACCCTCGCGTGATTTTAGGTGTCAAAATATGGCACCTTGGCATACTGACTATTTTAAGCTGAAGGAGTTTGTGGAAAAGGCACCCTTCTCCCTGAAACAGGGCATAAAACCCTCATGTGAGGGGTGTGTGTCCTCCATATCCTGGAGGAATCATGCTTCGACTTACTCTCTGGCTAGGTCTTATTGTTGGGGAAACACGTCAGATCATACTGCAAATATCAACGTATCAAATCAACAGGCTGTACACAATGTTACCTGTCAATTACATCTCAATAAAAATAAATTTTGAAAAAAAGCCACAATGGTACTGATTTAAACAGCCCAACTGTAAAGACATTTCTGAGATAATCCTGAAAATTTGAATACGGACAGGGTATTATTTTAAGAAATTACTGTGAAGTTTGTTAGATGTGGTAATCGTGTTTTAATTATGTAAGAAGAAATGCATGCTTTAAGTGTTTCCAGGTAAAGGGTCAAGAGGTTTGGGATTTGCTTTAAAATTCTTCGGCAAAGAAAATAAGAAATGAAGGTAGGAAGATAAAAAAAAAAAGGAACAGATGAAGGCAGTGGGGCAAATATGGAACCTGGGTGGTGGAAGCACAAAGCTCATCATCGTGCCAATCTCTACTTCCAAGTATTGGGTTGTTGGAAAAGTCATGACGTATTTTTTCTCTGTTTTTCGTTCCAAAAATACGTCATGACTTTTCCGACAACCCAATACATTTGAAATGTTTCATAATAAAAAGGGGTTTTATTTGCTTGGGTATTTTTATTGGGTTTTTCGTTTTTTTTTTAAATAAAGTCTACAACCAAAGCTCTATCATCTTCAGGCTGATTTGTCTGTGTGACAGAAAATGGGGTTTTCAACATAAATGCGTTCAATGCTAGGGAGAAGAATATGAAAAATACTGTGGGCAGGAAAGTGGCGGGAGCTTCACATGGTATAAAAGTGTGCAGAGCAGACAGCTTCCTCTCCTGACAGTCACTGCACCAACCTTAGGAATTTGGGGGGGGGGTCTAGGCTGGGGTTGTTTAAACGGTGGGTCAAGGCCTATTAGTGGATTATGAGATCAATTTAGTGACTCAAGAGATGCTTTTTTGAAAAAAAAACAGGATAGGGGATGGGGCAGAACAGACTAGAATCAGAGAAAATGTTTCAGAGAGAAATCTCACAGAGCACGGGAACGCCTGGTTGCATTCAACTTTCGTTTCATATACTCAAGTGTGAGTTCCTTGTCAAGAAGTATAAATTGTATGTCTTTCTTTGGGGCATGACCCAAAAAGTAGGAAAGCCACCGGTCCAGGCCTTGCCACGCCCACCAGGCATGGTGAGTCGGGAAATGCAGACAGTGCTGCCCCATGCCCTTTGTCTCCCCAGAGACCCCCTAGCCCACCATCCTCGCCTGTACCTGCACGATGCTGCTGATGACCATGGGAAGAATGTTCAGGGGGAAGCGGAGGATGTTGAACAAGGCCAAGGACACAAAGGCTTTCTGGGCATCCAGGATGTTGTTCTTGTCGACGGTCACGTAGACGGCAAACGTAGACAGGGCCACCTGCAAGCAAGCAGAATGCCCAGCACTGACTTGTGTCCCTGGGTCAGAGTCACAACCTAGGGGTGTCATGGGGACACTCTGCCTTGTGCTCAGGCCTGACCCACGGGAGTCGCGATCATGGAAGACTGGCCTTAAGAGGCGGCAGACAACGTCCAAGGCAATGACTAGCACACGGCGGGTACTCGCTCAACACTCAGAGAATGAGCTGGATGAATGAATGACCAGGAGCAGGCATTCCTGGCCTCTCCCGGAAACGTTCCCTGTGGCACACAGGACGGGCATCCTCGGAGCTCCTCAGCACCACCAGGCACGATCACACCTCCGGGCCTGTGCCCTGCAGTTTCCTCCGCCTGAAGCACGCTCACTGCCTCTAACGTGCTCCCCCCAAGCCCCCCTTTTATCCCGGATTATTTTTCTTCACGGCACCTGTCCCCACATTTTACTGTGGTATTGTATGTATTTATTGTCTGTGTCGTGCACTAAAATGTAAACTCCGCAAAGGTGGGGACCCCGTGTTGCACACGACTGTATCCGTGGTGGCTACAACCACCCCTGGGACACGGGAACCCTGAATTAGACTGTGGGCAAGTCAGCGCCTGTCCCCTGCCTCAGTCATCTCATCTGTGAAATGGAGCTAGAGGTGGAGCATTAATGCCATGATTCAAAGTTCCAGCTCACAGAGTTCTATACCCCCAGGAAAGGAACACTTATTAAAAAGAAAAAGAAAATAAGTGAACTGACAGCATTATTCTCCAGAGGCCACTCCCTTCCCCACAAAGTCCGATGTGCCCGGGAAGCCTTGTGGTGGTTCCTGGGATTTTACTGCCCAGGCGACGGGATTCAGGTTTGCTGGTTTAAGATGGCAGCCCCTCCCCTGCCTCACCAAGAGAATGGAAGGAAGGGCGCCTGAGTAATCCAGGGCAGGGCTGCTTGGCTCCGCGGGGAGGGGGCAGATCAACAGGTGGATTTCCGTGCTGCTCTCTCACTGCTGGGCACAGAGCCTACTGGGCGTTGCCAGGGAAGCTAGTAACGGGCACCTCCCAAGGCTATCTGGCACATGCTATCAGAAGCAGCCTAGAAGACCTTGGAACCGGCAGATGGACCTAAGTCCCCCCGCAGGTGGGCAAAACTCCCCCTGGTCCCATGCTGACTCCAGGCTCCTACGGCCATTAAAGGCTTTCCCTGGGGGATATAAACTGCCCCGGGGCCCTGCCTTTCTGAGCTCAGGGCAGACTGCAGGAAATCAGGCTCCGAGGCGAAGAGGGAGGCGAGGTGCTCAAAAAGCTCCTGACACCTGATCCCTGGGACGGCGGTCCACGCTGGCTCCCCTCTTCCTGGCAGTGACCTCTTATCCAGAGGTCCTTTTCATTCAAAACTCTCCAAATATAACCACGCAAAGTAGTCCTCAGCCACAAAAAGGAAGGACACCCGGACACACACTACAATAGGAACGAACAAACCCTGAAAACATGATGCTAGGTGGAAAAACAGACACAAAAGGCCACAGGTTAATATGATTCCATGTATGCGAAATGATCAGTAGGCAAATTTCCAAAGACAGAAAGTGGGGGAACGGGGAGCGACTGCTAATGAGCACAGGGTTTCTTTTTGGGGTGATGAAAATGTTCAAGAATTAGACAGTGGTGATGGTTGCACGACCTTGTGAATATACTAAACACCAATGAATTGTACACTTAAAAATGGTGAATTATATCTCAATAAAAATAAATTTAAAAAAAGAAACCACCTCTCCAAAATCACTCTATTTTACTTAATGCAGAAGTCAAAGTTTTGGCCGAGGCCCCAGGGCCCACCTGATCTGTAAAGGTC